CACAATACTGACAAGAACATTAGATGACACACACGCTCAACATGTTTTTGGCTGACATATTTTTCATTGCTGCTTATTCACAATCAAAGTAAAAAACTTAAGACCGACAAAAACACTAACTGTGTACTCTAAACAGTATATGTTTACTCCTGGCCCCTTCTCTGCATTGTCTATGCTGTGCATTAAACTCCTCTCTTATTCTTTCTATAGTCTGTGTTACACTGTACATTATACTTTTGACCCATTCTCTGTGTAGTGTATGTTATGTACGTTGCACTCCTGACCTTTTTTCTGTATAGTCTTTATTGTACATTAAAAAAGCTGTTTCACATTACACTTCTGACCTCTTCTCAACATATTCTGATTCTTTGATATGAAGGGCTTATGGAGCTTCTATACTGTTCGCAAGTACGTCTCTTAGAGGCTGATCCCTCTTTGCAGATCCCTCTCCTAGGTCGAGGGACTGTGTAAAGAGGTAAATCGCATCTTAGAGTTCGGAAACGAAGAGTTGGAACTCTGCACTGCTGTCCCGTCGGTGTGCCCAGTCTCGACTGTAAAAGGGGGAAGAAGGTATACCCTTTTACGGAGGATAGACAGCAGGACCTTTTTGCCCTGGAGTATCAGCTTTACAGCCAATCAGCCCTTTTATCTTTGATCCATAGAAAAAAAGTAGACAGACAAATATATAGATAGATAGACCCCAACCGGGCATCCGCTTTTACCACAGAGTAAACTCAGACCAAATAATATGCCAGAAAAGTAATCCACTCTGGCCAGAGCACAACACATGTAAAAAACACACAATACTGACAAGAACATTAGATGACACACACGCTCAACATGTTTCTGGCTGACATATTTTTCATTGCTTATTCACAATCAAAGTAAAAAACTTAAGACCGACAAACACTAACTGTGTACTCTAAACAGTATATGTTACTCCTGGCCCCTTCTCTGCATTGTCTATGCTGTGCATTAAACTCCTCTCTTTCTTTCTATAGTCTGTGTTACACTGTACATTATACTTTTGACCCATTCTCTGTGTAGTGTATGTTGTACGTTGTACTCCTGACCTTTTTTTTTCTGTATAGTCTTTATTGTACATTAAAAAAGCTGTTTCACATTACACTTCTGACCTCTTCTCAACATATTCTGATTCTTTGATATGAAGGGCTTATGGAGCTTCTATACTGTTCGCAAGTACGTCTTTTAGAGGCTGATCCCTCTTACACAGTGATCGACCTAGGAGAGGGATCTGCAAAGAGGTAGATCGCTTCTTAGAGTTCGGAAACGAAGAGTTGGAACTCTGCACTGCTGTCCCGTCGGTGTGCCCAGTCTCGACTGTAAAAGGGGGAAGAAGGTATACCCTTTTACGGAGGATAGACAGCAGGACCTTTTTGCCTGGAGTATCAGCTTTACAGCCAATCAGCCCTTTTATCTTTGATCCATAGAAAAAGTAGACAGACAAATATATAGATATGCTTGTAGCTTCCGAATTCTTAGACTATAGAGAAGATTAACACCACTCTGGTCTCCAATCAGCTCTATGGTCAGCAGGCAGAAACACCGGCTGCATTCTCAGGTTCCCCCAATGGCACGGGACTGCCCGAGAAGGCCGTGGAAGGCAGCGGGGGAGGGGGGGAATCATCTCCCGCTACTTGTAAAAGCAATCCTGCAGCTAATTAGCCACTAGGATTGCTTTTACATGAAAGCCGATCACCAGCTGAAAAAAAAACGATACCAGGATGATGCCTGCAGCTGTAGGCATCATCCTGGTATAACCATTCAAAGTCCAGTGATGTACCAGTACATCGCTGATCCTTGTTGTTTATATATGCTATTTTCTTTTTTTTGTATGCAGCCTGTGGACTGAATGAAAAAAAGAGAAGACATCTCTGCCAGAAAAAGTGTGTGGTATGCCCACCATTAGAATATAGCGCCCTGCATCCACCCACTTCTAATGGTGGGCACACATTAGGTCACACTTTGCCACATGTGCCAGTTCCAAGATTGTACAAATGTTTAAATAATGACATGCTTGAATAAAAATTGTCCACGTATAAGTAGTTCCCCATATGGAAAAAGGATAGAAAATTGGCCAATTTTTCCGGTCGAAAATAAAAATTGGCTGATTTTCGCACCGTTAGTGGGTTAATTGGTTTGCATTTTTTGGGGTTTTGCGCTTTTTTTTTTAATCGGTGAAGTTGGAAAAAAATCGTCCGATTTTGCCGATCGGCTGATTTTCCCGGCAATGATGGGCAAATTGGCCGATCGTTTTACTGATAAGAAATCTGCTCATGAGCCGTGACCTGCAAGAAGAAGAAAAAGAAGAAAAAAAGAAGAAATAGAAGAAGAAAAAGAAGAAAACGAAGAAGAAAAGAAGAAAAGAAAAAGATGATGAAAAAAAGAAGAAAAGAAAAAGAAGGAGGAAAAGAATTCTCGTTCCGCTATTATTTTTGACATAGTTTTGCCGTTGCAACAATGTATCTATTTGTATCTGAATAAAAACATCTGTATCCGAAATGGATGCAAATGGATACATCGTTGCAACCGCAATAGTTTTTCATGTCAAATATAATAGTGGAGCTCTCTGCAAGGGACAGAAGTAATTAGATGCCGGCCGTAGATGGGACGAAAATCGGCCGATTTTTTTTTACCGTTGGTGGTAACAAAAAAAAAAAAACGGCCGGTTTTCAACCCGTCTATGGCCTGCATAACGCTGCATTTTTGGGGACACGATACTGATGTGAACGCTGGTATAGTGCTGATCTGATCAAAGATATTGATCCATTCAGACACTATACTAGCAATGGAGGTTTATTGTGCATGAGCGTGTTTCTGCCAATCTGTGATGACTGGGTGTAACTGACGGGCAATCTGACGCTATCTGGGAGGGGCGTGAAAACCACAGGAGCATGAATCACGTATATAAATATATATATATATATAATATATACAGTCATGGCCGAAATTGTTGGCACCCTTGATATTTCTCCAGGAAATCATGTATTTCTCTCACGAAACGTATTGCATTAAACACATGTTTTGCTATACACATGTTTATTTCCCTTTGTGTGTATTGGGACAAAACAAAAAAAGGGAGGAAAGAAAGCAAATTCGACATAATGTCACACAAACCTCCAAAAATGGGCTGGACAAAAGTATTGGCACCCTTTCACAACTGCGGATAAATAAGAATGTTACAAGCATGTGATGCTCCTGTAAACTCACCTGGGCAAGTAACAGGTGTGGGCAATATAGAAATCACACCTGAAAGCAGATAAAAAGGAGAGACGTTCACTTAACCTTTGCATTGTGTGTCTGTCTGTGCCACACTAAGCATGGACAACAGAAAGAGGAGACGAGAAACTGTCTGAGGACCTGAGAACCAAAATTGTGGCAAAATATCAACAATCTCAAGGTTACAAGTCCATCTCCAGAGAACTAGATTTTGCCTTTGTCCACAGTGCGCAACATTATCAAGAAGTTTGCAACCCATGGCACTGTAGCTAATCTCCCTGGTCGTGGACGGATGAGGAAAATTGATGAAAGATTGCAACGCAGAATAGTCCGGATGGTGGATAAGCAGCCCCAAACATGTTCCAAAGACATTCAAGCTGTCCTGCAGGCTCAGGGAGCATCAGTGTCAGCGCGAACTATCCGTCGACATTTAAATGAAATGAAACGCTATGGCAGGAGACCCAGGAGGACCCCACTGCTGACACAGAGACATAAAAAAGCAAGACTACAGTTTGCCAAAATGTACTTGAGTAAGCCAAAAGCCTTCTGGGAAAACGTCTTGTGGACAGATGAGACCAAGATAGAGCTTTTCGGTAAAGCACATCATTCTACTGTTTACCGAAAACGGAATGAGGCCTACAAAGAACAAAACAACAGTACCTACGGTAAAATATGGTGGAGGTTCAATGATGTTTTTGGGGTTGTTTTGCTGCCTCTGGCACTGGGTGCCTTGACTGTGTGCAAGGCATCATGAAATCTGAGGATTACCAAAGGATTTTGGGTCGCACTGTAGGGCCCAGTGTCAGAAAGCTGGGTTTGCGTCCAAGATCCTGGGTCTTCCAGCAGGACAATGACCCCAAACATACGTCAAAAAGCACTCAGAAATGGATGGCAAAGAAGCGCTGGAGAGTTCTGAAGTGGCCAGCAATGAGCCCAGATCTAAATCCCATTGAACACCTGTGGAGAGATCTTAAAATTGCTGTTGGGAAAAGGTGTCCTTCCAATAAGAGAGACCTGGAGCTGTTTGCAAAGGAAGAGTGGTCCAAAATTCCGGGTGAGAGGTGTCAGAAGCTTATTGATGGTTATAGGAAGCGACTGATTTCAGTTATGTTTTCCAAAGGGTGTGTGCAACCAAATATTAAGTTAAGGGGGTGCCAATACTTTTGTCCAGCCCATTTTTGGGGTTTTGTGTGACATTATGTCATATTTGCTTTTCTGCCTCTGTTTTATATTTGTTCCAATACATACAAAGGGAATAAACATGTGTATAGCAAAACATGTGTTAATGCAATACCTTTTTTGTGTGAAATACTTGATTTTCAGGAAAAATATCAAGGGTGCCAACAATTTCGGCCATGACTGTATATATATATATATATATGTGATTTTGTGCACCCATGCTGCCCTGTAGCAGTATTTCTGCTATAGGGCGGTTACAGAAGCGGTTACAGAAGCGGTTTGTGTTACGTTGCTGCGTTACTTTAACTGACAATTGCGCGGTCATGCGACACTGCACCCAAATTAAATTTACGTCCTTTTTTTCCCACAAATTGAACTTTCTTTTGGTGGTATTTGATCGCCTGTGCGTTTATTTTTTGTGCTATAAAAAAAAAAAAGGCTGACAATTTTGAGAAAAAAACAATATTCTGTACTTTTTGCTATAAAACATGTCAAGTAAAAAAATTTAAAAATCACATTTCATTATAAATTTCATCATAAATTTCTGGCAAAATGTATTCTGCGACATGTCTTTACTAATAAAAAATCCCAATACGTGTAAATTAATTGGTTTACGTAAAAGTTATAGCGTTTACAAATGGCGGTATAGATACTGGATTTTTTTTCATTTTTTTATACTAATAATGGCGGCGATCAGCGACTTATGGCGGGACTGCGGCGGACATTCTGACACTGGGGGGCAACTGACTTGGGGTCACTGACATCCCCATTGACACCAATACAGTGATCAGTGCAAAAAAAAACAAAACACTGACACTGTACTAATGGCACTGGGGAGGAAGGGGTTAACTTTTTTTTAGGTAATGAAAGGGGTAACTGTGTAAGGGGAGTGTTTTACTAAGGGGTGGGGGTGTGTGCTTCACGGGACACTGATCCAGTGAGATAAACTCCTCTCTCAGGAGCAGCGTGTGCTCAGAACTGACAGGGAGCAGACTTGCAGTGTAAACACTGCAGCCGTGCTCCCTCTCAGTGATTGCCGGTAATCGCCGGACCCGGCGGGTAATGACTGGCCGGGACCCGTGATCGACACCCGCTGCCACGATCGGGCGGGACGGGTAGGGCGCGGCGCGCGCCCCCTACCTGTTTTGCAGACCAATGTTTAAAAACGGCGTTCTGCACAGCGGTGCCGCCCTGCCTCAGTAAAAACACTGTGGCTCGTCGGCAACCAGTTAAATGTGAAATTGCTTCTAAATAAATGTCAGGCAACATTCACAATGTAATTTGAACAAACTGTACTAAATACTACAATCACCCTTCAAATTAAGGTTCTAAAAGTGCATAATGAGCAAAGTGGTTTAGGACATACTGTATGCCAGTGATTGGTTAGTGTGACATTGTGCTTAGACAACCTGAAATGTGAATTGCCTGGAATTCAGTATTACATAGTTACATAGTTAATCTGGCTGAAAAAAGACAAAAGTCCATCTAGTTAAAACAAAAAAAAAGTTATAATCCTATATTCACAGTTGATCCAGAGGAAGGCAAAAAAAAAAAACCCCAGCAAAGCATAAACTAATTTGCACCTGCAGGGGAAATAATTTCTTCCTGATCCCCCAAGAGGCAATCAGATATTCCCTGGGCCAACTTTACCTATAAATGTTAGTAACCAGCTATGTTATGTGTATCTAGGAAATAATCCAGGCCTTTTATAAAGCAATCCACTGAGCTGGCCAGAACCAACTCTTGAGGGAGACTATTCCACATTCTCACACAGCTCTTACTGTGAAGAAACCTTTCCGTATTTGGAGATTAAATCTCTTTTACTCCAGACATAAAGAGTGCCCCCTTGTCCTCTGTGATGACCTCAAGGTGAATAACTTTACACCACTATATACTGATGTATTTATACATGTTTATCATATCCCCCCTTAATCCCCTCTTCTCAAGAGAGAATAAATTCAGTTCCTCTAATCTTTCCTCATAGCTGAGCTCCTTCATGCCTCTTATCAGTTTGGTTGCCCTTCTCTGCACTTTGTCCAGTCCCCCAATGTTCTTTTTGTGAATTGGTACCCAAAACTGAACTACGTATTGAAGCAAGAGTTACATTGTGATAGGCAGGCAATTATCATTTACAGAAAAGATCAGCAGTGTCAGCTTCCAGACAACTTACCGTTTAATCAGTCATCTATTTTAAAAACAGAACTAAATTAAAAGAATGTCCCAGAGTATTAGAGATAATGTGTGGGTATGCCCAGATTTACCCTCTGTGCCCGTGGGAAGGGGTTACATCCATTTAAAGGTACAACCCACCCTCTAGGTGGATGATGAGGAGTTATGCTATACCTAAAGGATGAGAGGGACTTGTTTGTAGGTGGGTTGCCTTGAAGAGATGTGGCAACAGATCTTTAGGTGGATTCTCTCCTTCGGGGAGAGGCCTAGCCTGACTAGGGCTACCTTTGAATGTCAATTAGGAACAAAGAAGACAGGGTACAATAATCTTGATTAAATTTCTCCCTCTACCTTGCTGGACATTATTGAAGAGCTGCCCACATAGGATACTATTACCATCATCATGGACTGTTATGTACTGTCCACCATAATTATGGTATTTTATTGATCTCACTTGTGGGCTGTTTCCACTTACTTCAAGAAAAGAACTGAAATGCAACAAGCAACCTCTGTGTGGTATGATGTAAGAGACTAATAGTTTGAATCAGAATGCAACCAGTTCCCATAGAATGAAGCCGAGGAGCTGGTAGTGGTTAGGGAAAGGAGTGCCCTACTGTTGGTAGGAGAGGACCCGCTCACGAAACAAGGTGACCTTGGCCCCGTATTTCATGGGCTTTGGGTGTGTGACTGGACTTTCATAGCCCGAAACTGAACCATGTTGGAACCTGCATGAAGTGTGCTCCAGGTGTTGGGGGTCTGTTGTAGACTTGCAGCCGAAGTGAAGTGTTAAAGAAGAATGCCAAATTTACTCTAACTTTAGTAGTTTGCTTCAGCCAAGCTGTTCCAAACTAACTACTTTCATTACTAATGGATGAGGCCACTGTGCAGTGTAATAGACTTTAGTAGCATCAGCTATATTCAACAAGTGGCTCTGGGTTCTAGCAGAAGTACATGTGACTTCTCATCTGCTTACGGAACTATATTGATTTGGCCTAAATGTCTTTTTCCCATTCAAAAGAAACCTTACAGTTTATCAATGAATACCAGGCTTCCTCTAATTGGCTGAGGTGGAAATCTTGACTTTATCCATCTGCCTCTTCTCCTCAGCCAATCAGAGGAAGCCTTGTATACATTGATAAAAAATATATGGCTTCTCCTAATGGGGGAGAGGTGTTTAAGCCAACTTGATTTCATTTTGGCAGCACATGGGAAGTTACCTGTGCTGTTGCTGGAACACAACGCCACTTAATGTATGTAGATAATGCTACTGCAGTATATTACAGTGCTGCACCACTTAGTAAGGAAATAGTTTGTTTGGGCCATCATGGTTCAATTAACTTTTAAAGTAAACCTGGAATTTACTAATGGTAGCCATACTGTACATGCTTTGATAAATAGATAATTTAGTTTCTTATCGATCTCTTCTGATAGGAATAATTGATCTATAGTCAACAACCCATTTGATCAATATGCCACATGAGAGGAAGTGGATATTGATCATTAGTCAAGATATGATTCATTAAACTCATTATTGATTGCATCTGTTTCCACCATGTAATCTCTGACTGATCGAATCTGATTGATTGAAAAAGCATTGTAGTCACAAAGTATCTCACTGCTGCAGATTGATGTGGAATAATTGACAATATTCTGCCCTGGCTAATCAACTCAGTTTGATAAAATACAAATGAAATTGAATCTAAATCAATCAAATAGGCAATTATGGCTATTCGATGATTTGTGGATTCGATTGTTTTGATCAAATTGCACATCAATTGGATAAAAAAATTGAAGTGTGTATATCCACCATTGAACTGGAGCTAAATGGAATGCTTTTTTTTGGCCATACTTCCCCTCTGGGTCACTGGAGAATACTTTTGTACTCCTGTGACCCAAAGTCAGCTGATAGCAGTTGCCCACTATCAGCTGATGGGACAGCCCCTCCAGGATCAGGAAGCATCCCGACAATATTGTCTGGGTCCACCTCACTGCCTGACTGACAGTTGACTCTGTCTGTCAGCTTTCAGCTGAGTGAAAAAGCCAGCCAATCCCACACCCTCTCCAGTCTGGTTCTTCAGTCACCATTCTCCACTCACAGCAGACCGAGAACTGAGCAATCAAAGGTCTTGCGATTGCCCTGTTTTCGGTCTTACATCCAACATTGGACAGCTGCAGCATCACACAGATACTGGAGTATGGAGGTGGGTATGAAGGTTTTTTTAATACCACACTTCTCTTTTAAAGTGGAAGTAAACCCTCCTATCCTTTACAGGCAAGGAAGCTGCTATCTTAGCCTCTGTTTGATACAGTAGATATAAAATGTCTACACTCCCCTGTTAAAATGTCAGGTTTCTGTGATATAAAAAAATGAAACAAAGATAAATAATTTCAGAAATTTTTCCGCTATTATAAACTGTACAACTCAGTTGAACAACAAAATGAAATTTTTTAAGTGGAGGGAAGTAAAAATAAAAAACTAAAATAGTATGGTTGCATAAGTGTGCACACCCTTAAACTAATACTTTATTGAAGCACCATTTGATTTGATTCCAGCATTCATTCTTTTTGAGTATGAGTCTATCAGCATAGCACATCTTGACTTGGCAATATTTGCCCACTCTTCCTTGCAGAAACACTCAAATCTGCATCTCCTGTACACAGCCCTCTTCAGATCACCCCACAGATTTTCAATTGGAGTCAGGTCTGGGCTTTGGCTGGGCTATTCCAAAACTTTAATCTTCTTCTGGTAAAGCCATTCCTTTATTGATTTGGATATATGCTTTGGGTCATTGTCATGCTGAAAGATGGAGTTCCTCTTCATGTTCAGCTTCCTAGCAGAAGCTTGACGGTTTTGTGCCAATATTTGGAACTGTTCATAATTCTCTACCCCAGTTCCAGCTGAAGAAAAACAGCCCCAAAGCATGATGCTGCCACCACCATGCTTCACTGTGGGTATGGTGTTCTTTTGGTGGTGTGCAGTATTGTTTTTGAGTCAAACATATCTTTTGGAATTATGGCCAAAAAGTTCAACCTTAACCATAACACATTTTCCGACATGCTTTTGGGAGACTTCAGATGTGTTTTTGCAAAATGTAGCCGGGCTTGGATGTTTTTCTTCGTAAGAAAAGGCTTCCGTCTTGCCACTCTGAAGAATACGGGAGATTGTCATATGTACCACACAGCCAATACTTGCCAGATATTCCTGCAGCTCCTTTAATATTGCTGTAGGCCTCTTGGTAGCCTCCCAGACCAGTTTTCTTCTCGTCTTTTCATTAATTTTGGAGGGACTTCCAGTTCTTGGTAATGTCACTGTTGCGTCATATTTTTTCAACTTGAGGATGACTATATTCACTGTGTTCCATGGTATATCTAATGCCTTGGAAATTCTTTTGTACCCTTCTCCTGACTGATACCTTTTAACAATGAGATCCCTCTGATGCTTTGGAAGCTCTCTGTGGACCATGGCTTTTTCTGTAGGATGCGACTAAGAAAATGTCAGGAAAGACCTACTAAAACAGCTGAACTTTATTGGGGGTTAATCAGAGGCACTTTAAATGATGGCAGGTGTGTACTGACTCCTATTTAACATGATTTTGAGTGTGATTGCTTAATTCTGAACACAGCTACATCCCCAGTTATAAGAGGGTGTGCACACTTATGCAACCACATTATTTCAGTTTATTATGTTAACTCCCCCCCAAAAAAAAAAAAGATTTTCAGTTTCTCAATTGAGTTGTACAGTTTATAGGTCACATTAAAGGTGGAAAAAGTTCTGAAATGATTCATTTTTGTCAAATTTTTTTACATCACAGAGTCCTGACATTTTAACAGGGGTGTGTAGACTTTTTATATCCACTGTATGTAGTTGCCATAGTGCTACATATGTATGCAGTTATGACAACAGCCATTTGAAATTAAAGCAAAACACCACTGCTAAGAGGTCCAGATAAAACTTTATTCCATTGGAGGTCAGGGGTACAATTCAAGAAATAGCTAACAAATTTACCGTATTTTCCGGCGTATAAGACGACTGGGCGTATAAGACGACCCCCTATTTTCCTGTTAAAATGTAGTGTTTGGGCTATACTCGCCGTAAAAGACTACCCCTCTTCCAATGCACACCAGTGGGAAGAATCGTGCCCCATCATTGGTGTCAGTGGGAGGAACAGTGTCCCATCATTGGTATTAGTGGGAGGAATAGTGCCCCATCATTGGTGTCAGTGGGAGGAATAGTGCCCCATCATTGGTATTAGTGGGAGGAATAGTGCCCCATCATTGGTGTCAGAGCGACGAATCGTGCCCCATCATTGGTGTCAGTGGGAGGAATAGCACCCCATCATTGGTGTCAGTGGGAGGAATAGCGCCCCATCATTGGTGTCAGTAGGAGGAATCGTGCCCCATCATTGGTGTCAGTGGGAGGAATCGTGCCCCATCATTGGTATCAGTGGCAGGAATAGTGCCCCATCATTAGTATCAGTGGGGGGAATATTGCCCCATCTTTGGTGTCAGTGGGAGGAATCGTGTCCCAACATTGGTGTCAGTGGGAGGAATAGCACCCCATCATTGGTGTCAGTGAGAGGAATAGTGCCCCATCATTGGTGTCAGTGGGAGGAATCGTGCCCCATCATTGGTGTCAGTGGGAGGAATCGTGCCCCATCATTGGTATCAGTGGGGGGAATAGTGCCCCATCTTTGGTGTAAGTGGGAGGAATCATGCCCCATCATTGGTGTCAGTGGGGAGGAATAGTGTCCCAACATTGGTGTCAGTGGGAGGAATAGTGTCCCAACATTGGTGTCAGTGGGAGAAATAGCGCCCCAACATTGGTGTCAGTGGGAGAAATAGCGCCCCATCATTGGTGTCAGTGGGAGGAATCGTGCCCCATCATTGGTATCAGTGACGGGAATAGTGCCCCATCATTAGTATCAGTGGGGGGAATAGTGCCCCATCTTTGGTGTCAGTGGGAGGAATAGAGTCCAAACATTGGTGTCAGTGGGAGGAATCGTGCCCCATCATTGGTATCAGTGGCAGGAATAGCGCCCCATCATTAGTATCAGTGGGACGAATAGTGCCCCATCTTTTGTGTAAGTGGGAGGAATCATGCCCCATCATTGGTGTCAGTGGGAGGAATAGTGTCCCAACATTGGTGTCAGTGGGAGGAATCGTGCCCCAACATTGGTGTCAGTGGGAGGAATAGTGTCCCATCCATGGTGTCAGTGGGATGAATAGTGCCCCATCATTGGTGTCAGTGGGAGGAATAGTATCCTATCATTGGTGTCAGTGGGGGGGAATAATGCCCCATCATTGGTATCAGTGACACCAATGATGGGGCACTATTCCTCTCACTGACATCAATTACACCTGTTGTAGTATGGTGCTGCTGCAGCCAGCATATGTGGTTGCAGCAGCACCTCTGCACGGCACACTTACCGGCCGCTCCTTCACTCGATTTTCGCGGGGCCGCTCGGCTCCGCCTCCTCACCGGTGATTGGCTGCCTGTGTGCCTTTCCTGAGCTACAGTTCTGGCGGCCAATCACCGGTGAGGAGGTGGAGCCGAGCAGCCGCGCAAACATCCAGTGGCCGAACCGAATGAAGGAGCAGCCGCGCTTCCTGGACCGGATCGTCGCGGGACCGGAGCCGGGTAAGAGACAGCAGCCCCTGCCCACCCCTGTACTTAGTGTCCCTTCCGTTGGAAGGGGGGGCGGCGGCGGCACCGCGCCACCCCCCTAAAAAGTGTCAGCATGCCGTATACCGGCGTATACGACGACCCCCGACTTTTGAGAAGATTTTCAAGGGGTAAAAAGTCGTCTTATACGCCGGAAAATACGGTAAGTGCTCCCTTTATCAGAGCTAGAAAGAACATAAGAAGATTTTTATATCAATCTGACATCAATACAATGTCAGAATAAAACCAATCAATAGTAATGAGAGTGTCAAAATAATTGCATAAAAATTAAAACATGAGTGCTAAATAAAACTGAGGATATGGGTGCTGAAAAAAAAATAAAATAACACCAATAATAATCATCACTATTATTAAAATGATACATTATAAGTGATATGTTAACCTAATAAAAAATAATGTATCATTTTAGTAATAGTGATGATGATATTAGTGTTATTATTATTTTTTTTTGTTGTGGTTTGTTTTTCAGCACCCATATTCTCTTTTGTATACATATCCATTATCCACTTGCCCTTGGGAAGATGAACCCCCCTTTATGACCAGGCCATTTTTTGCTATACGGCGCTGTGCTACTACTGACAATTCTGCATTCATGCAACACTTTATACATATAAATTCAATTTATATAATTTTTTTTCCACACAAAGAGCTTTCTTTTGGTATTTGATCACTGTTTTTTTTGTTGTTTGCGCTATAAACAAAAAAAGACCGACATTTTTGAAAAAAAGAATATTCTTTTTTGCTATAAAACATATCCCATAAAAAAAAATCTTCATAAATTTAGGCCAAAATGTATTCTGCTACATGTCTTTGGTAAATAAAAAAAAATCCCAATAAGTGTATATTAATTGGTTTGTGTGAAAGTTATAGCATCTACAAATGGCGGTCTATATACTGGAATTTTTTTTTTTTATACTAGTAATGGCGATCAGCGAGTTATAGCGGGACTTTGATAGTACAGCAGGCATTCTGACACTAACTTACACTGTGTGGGAACTGACTAACTGCCACTGACATCTCCAGTGACACTAATACAGTGATCAGTGCTAATAAAAAGCACTGACACTGTACTAATAACACTGGGCAGGAAGGGGTTAACATCTGGGGTGATCAAAGGGTTAACTGTGTGTTACTCCTGGTTCACGTGTGTGGCTGTGTGAGCCGCGATTTGCGCAGACACGAAAGCCCATTTATTTAAATGGACTCCCGTGCCCTGGGACACGCAGGGAAGAAGTCCATGCACCACTTTGGAAATCGCAGACCGCGAGGGAACTGAGGTTCCCAGTGCAGTTGCGATTTCCAGTGCGGGCGGCATGCTATTAAAATTAATGGCACCTGCCTGCGGGTCCTGCTTCCCTCTGTGTGGGTGGTGCAGCTGCAGGTATTTGTGCGGGTCCCGCAGCGGCACCACCTGCACAGATGTGAACCAAAAAATGTATATTATATAGGGCGTGCTTGTTAGAGCCCAACCTCTGTAGCTGTAGGATAAAGGTGCCAGATCGATATCAGGGATGGATGGATGGGAGCAGTAACACTGAGGTAGCTCTTCTTAGAGTGGAAGCAAGGCTCTAATGCAGTAACATGAAAAGAGAGGAAGGCGCCTCTAAGTGCAGTATAGACAATTTATTAGTGAATAGACAAATTGCACTTACAAGATACATAGTTAAAAAGTCTCATCTTTTGGTGTAATAAGATCCAGGTGGGACGTCCAGCAGCAAACTCTGTCTATGAGATCAGGAAGTAGAGCCCAGGATGTGCCTGTGCATCAAAATGAGGCTTGGAGAGCAGAGTACATCAGAACATCCTACTGACAATATGCCATCACAGATTAGATTTGTCAATCAATTCCATAGTCATCATAAGCAAATGGAATATACTATACGGAAACACTGGCCAATCTTGCACCAAGACCCTTACTTCAAATCACTTTTAGCACAACAAGCCAAGTTTTCGTACAGGAAAGCTCCCAGGGAAAAAAGGGAAAATAGCACCTAGCAAACTTAAAACTAAACCAAAGAACACCGTTCCTCTCACTCTTTCCCATGTTGTTGGTATGTATCAGTGCAAAAAACCCTTATGTAAGAGATGCCAGTTTATTCATCATGGACAAAAGGAGTTCACTGCCAAAGGGTTATCATATCAGATTAAGGAATTTTACACATGCTCTTCTGAATATGTGTTCTATTGTCTAATTTGTCCTTGTGGTCTGAACTATGTGGGTAGAACCACACGTACCCTTCGTAAATGTTTTGGTGAGCACCGTCGCCTTATAGAGGATGGAAAAGATCAGCATAGCGTACCCAGACATTTCCTTGCATGCCACGGAAAATCCACTGAAGGTCTTAGTGTGTGGATCATTGAAGAAATGCCACGGGACCTCCCTCTGGCAGAGCATTTTTTGCGTCTGTTAGAGGGAAACTTTTTGGATCTACACCTTGGATCTGTTATCCCCTGGTGGCCTAAATTAAGAGTTTGAAATAAGCTCCATTTTATAGAGACATTCCCCTGGTGGCCTAAATGAAGAGCTTGAAATAAGCTCCATTTTATAGAGACATTCCCCTGGTGGCCTAAATGAAGAGCTTGAAATAAGCTCCATTTTATAGAGACATTTGCTTCCTTCCAAATGGTGGTTATAAATATCAACACAATACCCTTATACAGCTGTTTGTACTTTATCACTAGTAGTCCTTTCCTCCAACAAATTAAAGTATATCTCTTCCTTATCCCTCTCTCATTTAACTATGATCCCTTTTAGTACATCACAAATAAGATAATAAATCCACATGCTATTATAGCAAGCCCATTTATTAAAATGCGCATTTCTTTCTTTGTTTTTAATTTTGCTTTTATATTTATTTTTATACGTTTTTTAATTTTTGGTACAATAATCTACATTTTTCATTATATCATTGATTTCTTCATTATTATTAACATTTATTTTCACCTCCATTGTTCTATTCTAATTTATTTTTGTAATTTGTAATTTTCTATTTCCTTTCTATTTAATATGCCATTTTTTTAGATATATGTTATTATAGGTATATATACACACTCGTATACTTTTTAACCCAAAAGCATTAGAGCTATTCTCTCGTGTGTTTTTAGTTCTGTTTTTTTATCTTTTTTATATCTGTATTAATTCCTGTACGATGCAGGAAAACATGTACTGTAGGTCCTTACGACCCAGGAACTACTTGCCTCCCTCCCATTCCCTTCACACTATAAAAATGTCAGGGTTCTATTGGGGCTCAGGTCTGAAGAAGGAGCCTACTGTGCATGCTCCAAAACGCGCCCCCTTCACCTCCTACATCCGACTCTGCTCTCCAAGCCTCATTTTGATGCACAGGCACATCCTGGGCTCTACTTCTTGATCCTATAGACAGAGTTTGCTGCTGGACGACTGGATGTCCCCACCTGGATCTTATTACACCACAGGTTGAGTCTTTTTAACTATGTATCTTGTAAGTGCAATTTATCTTATGTTTACTAATAAATTGTCAATACTGCACTTAGAGGTGCCTTCCTCTCTTTTTCACAGATGTGAACCAAGCCTTAGGGGAGGGGTGGGCAAACTTTTTGACTTGAGGGCCGCAATGGGTTCATATATTGGACCCGGGGGCCGGACCAAGAGTAGAAGAATGATGTGTATGTGTCATCCATAGTAAGCATAGTAATATTCCCCCATAGTAAGCATAGTAATTCATCCCCCATATAGTAATTCATCCCCCATAGTAATTCATCCCCCATATAGTAATTCATCCCCCATATAGTAATTCATCCCCCATAGTAATTCACCCCCCATATAGTAATTCATCCCCCATAGTAATTCATCCCCCATAGTAATTCATCCCCCATAGTAATTCATCCCCCATATAGTAATTCATCCCCCATATAGTAATTCATCCCCCATATAGTAATTCATCCCACCTATAGTAATTCATCCCCCATATAGTAATTCATCCCCCCATAGTAATTCATCCCCCATAGTAATTCATCCCCCATATAGTAATTCATCATCCCCCATATAGTAATTCATCCCCCATAGTAATTCATCCCCCCTATAGTAATTCATCCCCCATATAGTAATTCATCCCCCCTATAGTAATTCATCCCCCCTATAGTAATTCATTCCCCATATAGTAATTCATCCCCCATATAGTAATCATCCCCCCTATAGTAATTCATTCCCCATATTGTGTCAATTCACTTACCTTTGCTCCGCGCGTTCCTCTCGCCGTGTTCCCGCGCCGTTCCGGTCTTCAGGGCGGACTGTGAGAGGAGCCTAGCTCCCCTGCTGCCCCGCCTCATGCTGCCCCGCCTACACACATCCTGACAGGCAATGTTTGCCACGCTCCGCGGGCCGGATTAAAAGGTCCGCCGGGCCGTATACGGCCCACGGGCCGTAGTTTGCCCATTGCTGCCTTAGGGAGTGATAAAACTGTGTACTGTTTTACTAGGGGACATGCTGCTTTACAGAGAGATAAAAATCACCACTTCCCTGCTGATAGCAGAGAGACCTGTGTTGTTTACACTCACAAATCTCTCTCCTGACTACTGCTCCACTGATCATATTAGCAAAAAGATGGCAACCGGAGTGGCCGCATGATCGCCAGCTCCGGCGCCTCCCGCTGAATCCGCCACCATCCAGGCGGTAAAGGGATCCGGAGCAACCAGAAGGAGTGCTGGGTGCTCTGTCTCTCCGGCAGAGCTCCGGTAGCTCGCGGCCTACCGCAGCACCTAAAGCTGCGGTCTTTCCTGCTGGCCGCGACGAACCGCGACGCCTCCGCTCCAGCATGAGGGAACGCAACCACCACCCCCACCCCTTCAGCCACCGCGGTGAAGCGGGTGCTCTGTCCCTCCAGCGGAGCTCCGAGGGCTCGCGGCCTACTGAGGCACCTAAAGTCGCGGTCTTTCCTCCCAGCTGCAACGAACCGAGACACCTCCGCTCCAGCACGAGGGGACGCAACCACCACCCTCACCCCCGTTGGTACCTACAGCTGCCGCGGAGAACTGAGACGCTGCCATTCCGGAGGTCCTGTCCTGCCATCACCCAGGAAAGGGTACTGGGCACTCTGTCCCCTGCGGCCTACCACGGCCTGCGAAGCCGCGGTCCTCCCTGCCGGCTGCGGGGAACCAAGACGCCACCGTCCCGCGCCAGAGAGAGGGGAAACTACCACCACCCCTACCAGTATCTACAACCGCCGCCGCAGAGAGATGGAAGCAACAACCACCCCCACCGGTACCTACAGAGTGTAGGAAGCCACCTCCACCGGCACTGAGAGGGTAAGCCACCACCACCAGAACGGCTCCCCTGCTCCCCACCGCCTGCTACACAGCCGCCACCCGTGCCCCTGCCACTGCACAGCCCCGAGCCCCGTCCAATCCGGCGGATGTGAGCCTGCCACACGGCCTACAGCACCCATAGACGCCGGGCCCTACAACACCCACAGACGCCGGCCCACAGCACCCACAGACGCTGGCCCACAGCACCCACAGACCGCCGCGACTAGCCAGCAGTGGACCCAGTTGCCCACCACTCTCCTTCTCCTCCCACAGATGAACCTGGCCTACAAGACCCGACTCTGCCTCCGCCACTGTGCGACAGACTCTCCGCATCTATACACCCTGATGTGAAACCTTTAACCTCCCTCAATTGGCCCTATAGCACCCACAAGCGTTGGCCCACAGCACCTACAAGCGCCGGCCCACAACACCTACAGACGCTGGGCCCTACTGCACCTACCGACGCCCAGCCTACAGCACCTACAGACGTCGGCCTACAGATGCCGGGCCCTACAGCACCTCCAGACGCCGGGCCCTACAACACCTCCAGACGCCATGCCCTACAGCACCTCCAGATGTCGTGCCCTACAGCACCTCCAGATGCCGTGCCCTACAGCACCCACAGACGCCGGCCCACAGCACCCACAGCATTTTAGTTCTGTTTTTTTATCTTTTTTATATCTGTATTAATTCCTGTACGATGCAGGAAAACATGTACTGTAGGTCCTTACGACCCAGGAACTACTTGCCTCCCTCCCATTCCCTTCACACTATAAAAATGTCAGGGTTCTATTGGGGCTCAGGTCTGAAGAAGGAGCCTACTG